AGATGAAGTCCACCCATCTTAAAGTTGCCAAGTTTGAAAAGCACTGATTTAGATGGTCTAAAGGAGGGGAATAGGAACTTTTGCTTCCAGGAAGACTCTGGCTTTCATCTCCCTGCTCTCCCCCAAAAATGGGGCCCCCAAATTCAGCACCTGTGAATGGTTTGAACTTCAAAATATTGCCAAGCATTTATGACATACTGTAAGCAGTTCTGGTTACAGCTTCTCCAAGTGTATCATTTTAGAGCTACTGTAGAAGAAGGGAAGAAGATGACCTTGGGGTGTGATGAAGAATACTGTCAAAATATGAGGCTGTTTGAAAAAATGATCCATAAACCGGGTTGTGCTAAAAGCACATAAACAGATAGATTTTATGAGCAGGCTGAAGACCTTGGGTTCAATGCAGCTGAACGGTAGAAGGATCAGGAGGAGAAAAGGAATAACTTCTTCATACCACATGCAGTTCAAGCTATGGAATCCATTTCCATCATAATTATGGTGACAGCCACCATTTTTGCTGGCTTTAGAGAAAATCCCAGCAGCTTCTAATCGCAGTAGCTGTGTGCTGGTGCCAGGAAGAGAGACTACCTGCCTGGAAATATTAATAACAATGTCCTGCTTGTGGGCTTCCAAAACAGTTGGCTGCTATATCAAAAAGGATCTTGGAGGTGATAGACCTCTAGTGTGATCCAGCAGGGATATCTCTCCAGTTCCATTTCAGAAGTCAGTTCCTAATATTGCCTGGCTGATGGAAGCCCAAAACACCTGGATAGCAGATGCAGAAGAAACAGCTTTAAGTATTCCTTGCTATCACAACCTATCAATGGCTATCAGCTATGATGGTTACAAGTGGAACCTTGAGATACAGAAGAACATCTCTTACTACATGTAAGGAGCAATCCTCTGCATCTCCATCACCGTCTGAGCATGTTTCCCAGCAAGCCCCTGGACTGGGGACCCTTTTTGTCTTGCTGGGCCTGGCTCTTCTTCTACACAGCCACAAATGTGGGAAGCTGGCATTTAGCTGCATGCTCCCAAATGCCCTGAAGCCTCTTTAGAGCAGGAAATTATTTAAATTGCTACTAAAAGACCCATCTCTGGCCAGAAACAGCAACAAGAATGCAATTACCTAGTTTCCACTGCCACCTGCCGCACAGGCTCTATTTTTAATCTATAATTCATTTTAATTAAATTTGAATTACCTTGACATTTGGTGGCAAGCTGCAGGAGGAAAACACATATTTGGGGAAAGAAAGCTCGGTTCCACTTACGCTGCCTGAAAGGCTGCTGTCGCCACCATGCAAACCACCATGATGTAGAAGATTGGGTAGCCCAGCTGCACATTCCCCCGAATGGAAACCACAATCATGCCCGCAACGGCTTTGACGGTAATGACTGTCATGGAACCTGGAAAACACCAAGGTAATAACCCTTGTTTTGCTCAAGAGCGAGCAAAACAAGATGAGCAAAAAACAATAGTGGGGACTGCAGAGATCCCACGAACAGGAACAAGAACTTGACTTATTCAGCCCTCTTCAACTCAGCCTTTGGTGAATTTATTTTTCTGGATGTTATTCATGTGGTTTCATCCAGGCAGTCATCTTTCTTGTGGCTCAGAGTTTTTTTGGAGTCAACCTTGAAATCCAATAAATAAATACATAAAATTTGACTCCTCTAGGGGCCCTGGATCAGCGGCCCTCAAACATCTAGAAGGAACCAGTTTGGGAAAGATGAACTGAAACTAAGCTTCTTGGAGAAGGGCAAGCTCTTGTTTATCTATAAAAGAAACAGGACCATGATGGGGCCTTTGATCAAACTTTCCCTATGCTCTTCAGCTATATTGGATTACTGGAATTCACCAGGCTGGAATTATGCATTGTATAGTCCGACATGCATGGAAGGCACTAGACTGGAGAAGATCAAGATAGATATACCTGAACAATTTGGTGGTAGTGCCCCAAACCATTCATAACATGTCATTCAGGTTATTTCTTAGTAAAATAAAGCTGACTGCATATATAGTGTGTGGGCGCATGGATAGAAATATGCACCATGATTACAGTAGCTGAAATGGAAACCTGTTTGGTTCCATTACAGAACATCTGTGTTAGTCTATGGTAGCAAAAGAGAGAGAGAGAGAGAGAGAGAGAGTCTGGAAGCACTTTTTCCAACTAACCATTTTTAACCAAACATAAATAACACTTACTAAGCTTGGTTAAATATGGTTAGTTGGAAAAGGTGCTTCCAGACTCTTTTTTTTCCTTCCATATTCCTGATTGAGTGGTTCCAATAATGAAAATCAATGTTATGCTTTAGAAGAGCAGAATAGAAACCATTCAGTATGAAAACAAAAAGCTCAGCAAAATATGTGATGTCCTGAAGCTTCACTGGGGTGAAAAAAGACAATGAATTTATCAGGGAAAGGAATTTTACAGTTTGGCGAATAAAGATTCACGTGGATCCCCCCTACTTTCCTCTGCTTCTCTTAAATTCATAGCCACTGCAGGATTTCTGTTTAAAGACACACATGTATCAGAAGACACACACACATACACACACACACACACACACACACACACACACAAAACCATACATGACCGTGCTTCTTTGACAAATCAAAGCCAAAGGTTTAACAATCCAGTATTGAAATTTATTTTACCTAAAGTGGAAAAGGAGCTTACCAAGGAGAGCTACCAGGAGCAGAATCACCACAATATAGTTTGCTTTCTTCTCCTTGTAGAAATATAGAAGCAGGCAGAACAGAATGATCTCGAGCAGCTAAGAAGGGGAAGAGAACAGAGAAGTGCCACTGGATTTGGAATAAAGCTGGGTTTCCAATTTTTTCTCCACATTCTCGGCCTTGCAGTCTGAACAGACAGATCTCCCTTTTGGAAATGAACAAGGGGGTCCCTGTGCCTTAGTTCCCCAGAAATCTGGGGAGCACGAGTTTGCATTCCAACTATCGACTTTTCAGGAGGGCCAAGTTACAGATTAGGTTCACACACTGCATTAAGCTACAATGTGACTTGATTGATTTAGGCAGAGTGCAGTTTATTTCTGCCGGCAGATTGCTCATTTTTGGTGGTTTTGCCCCAAAAGTGAAGTGCTGCTGACTCCTTGTATTTTGCTGGTATTCCCTCAAATGTGGCTCCCTTGTGCAGTGTTCAGCCTGAATGACACCCTACCTGGGTCTTCCAGATGCTAGTCCAACAGCTTCCACACTAAACTTTCTGCTCTCAACAACCCAAGAATGTACCCTCTGTCGTTTGTAAACCCTAGATGATTACAATGAGCTTGGCCAATTTTGGTTTGCTCAAAGAGTTGAAATAACCAATGGCTTAATCTGTGTCTAAACACAACCATCTAGGAGAAAACTCAGCTGGATATGGATCTACTTGTGAGTAAGGCTATTTAGGGATCCATTATAACTGCAGACCTAAAACCCAATTTAGGATCACATTATGTTAAGTCATAATGTTGCCTAATTGGGTTTGGCTTAATACAATGTGTAAGTCCATCATTGTTATTTGTAAACGATGATTTATGGCAAGGGTGTGTGTATCAACCTTTTGATGGCTGAGAAGCACACTTAACAAATCTGGAGTTGAAAGTGACAATATTGTTTTCTTTGTTTGCATCCGTAAAGTATTGGGGCGGATTCTTGATTTTTCTCAACTAGTCATCCTGTTTTAGAATTTACTTTACCTTTCTGAAGATAAGCAACTGGTCTGTTGATTTTCACCACTACCAGACTGCATACAGCTCTGAGACTGAGTTGCCTGAACATGATTTAGGGTTTTGCTTGATGTATAAACTCAGCTCCTGTGATTCACTCAATGAACCATAGTTAAAACTAAAGCTCTAGATCAATGTTTTTCAACCTTGGCAACTTTAAGATGTGTGGACTTCAACTCCCAGAATCATGGCTGGCTGGGGAATTCTGGGAGTTGAAGTCCACACATCTTAAAGCTGCCAAGGTTGAAAAACACTCATCTTGATCAAAGAAGCGTGTAAACACAGAGCAAGCACAAAACATCATTTCGTGGCTTAGTACTCTCACTGAAATGAGATGAGGATGGACGACCACCGATTAGACTCGACTTAATGAGATGTGTGGACTTCAACTCCCAGAATCATGGCTGGCTGGGGAATTCTGGGAGTTGAAGTCCACACATCTTAAAGCTGCCAAGGTTGAAAAACACTCATCTTGATCAAAGAAGCGTGTAAACACAGAGCAAGCACAAAACATCATTTCGTGGCTTAGTCCTCTCACTGAAATGAGATGAGGATGGACGACCACCGATTAGACTCGACTTAATGGATTGCCTTACCATATACAGAAGGAATGGCCAGCTGACCAAGTGCTTTGTGATGTTCTCCCCTGTCATGATTTCATGACTGTTTGGTCCAAAGGTGATGAGCAGGTACGTCCCAACAATGGCTAAGCCACAGCCTACGAAGGACAAAACATAGCGCCCTTTGGTAGGAAGAAGACAGGAGAAGCCGGATTAGTGCATTAGTTCAGAGGTCTACAGCAGCCCTGAGCCACACACATGCTTAGTTACAAAAATGAGATGGGGAAGGTAGTTTGGGCTACCCTTTTAGATGGCTTGGAGGACAACTCCATGCTAAGGATAATGAGACTTGCACTGCCAGGACAATTAAGTAGGGGCTGGCTGATTTAAAGTGGGCATCCCATTTTCTCTGCAGAACAGCGACAAAGGGACTCGGAAATGACAAAAAACGGGACAGGGTAATGATTTTAAAATTAATAAAATATAAGAACAGGCACTGTCATGAAAATGATCAGCAAAAGAAGGAAAGCCGAAAGACATATGCCCCCCAAGGATCTGGGTATAAATTGACAGGGGCAGCTTGGTCCCCTTTTCTTCCAGATGTCCAAGATGCAAAACCCACCAGCCCACCCAATTGGTTAGCCAATGAAAGTAAGGACTTAAGCCTTTCTGAAATCATGAAAAAGGAGCCAGCTCCTGCTGAGCCAGTCCTAAGAAATTAGCAGGTAAGAAACAGGAAAAAGAAAGCAGTCTGCAAGAACAATGCGATTTTTTAGCAGAAGGTACCAGAAACCAATTCTTGTTGATTGGTACAATACATGCAAGAGGCAGCAAGGGAAGCAAAGTTAAAGAAACATGCTGACAGTTCTTTAAAAATGCATCCAGTAACTTACTCAAGAAGTCTTTAGGCTTCCATTTTTCCCTGATGAATATGACTCCAATGATTGCGCTTGCTGAATGAGAAAACAGCAAGCGATGAGCTTTGCAAATGCTAGAGACAGTGGGTCTGATTAGTTCAAGCTCAGGGGGTTGTTTTTTCACTTGTGCAAGTGATTGGTTGATGTTGTATTTCGCAGTTTTAATATTACCTGATTGCTTATTGCCCAGAGAAGTACTTGCCATAGGATGACTTTTAAATGGCCCAATACACAAGTGAACAAAAATCTATGGTGCAAAATCTCACATGGCAAGTTTATTTATTTATTAATTAAACAAAATTATATGGCTGCCCAACTCACACGTGGTGACTCCATGTGGCTTACAGAATTAAAATCTGCAATACAAAAAGCCCATCAACCCCCCGACTCCCGCGGCGGCTACAAACACAATTGCCAGAAAAAAAATTACAATGACCCAAAGCAGCAACAAAATACAAAGTCATCAAAGATCTAGGAAATACAGGTAGTCCTCATTTAGCGACCACAATTGGGACCGGCAACTTGGTCATTAAGCAAAGTCGTCGCTAAATGAAACATCACGACCTTATGATTTTACTTCAGCTTTCCTTTGCTTTACAGACCTACGAAAGTCGTAAATACGAGGATTGGTTGCAAAGTTACTTTTTCATCACTATCGTAACTGCGAATGGTCACTAAATGAGACTACCTGTACCAAAAAACGGAGTGGGAGGAATAAGATCTAGAGAATCCATTTCCCCCAATTTCCCAATTCCTCTTCCTCTCCAGCCATACCTAGGTAGGTACATAATGCATTTTTACAACATACTAAACCTTACTGTGATTCAGCTTTTAGCGTGTCATTTAAACTGGATTGAGGCCAAATATTTTCAACTTTTAAGTCAAAATGGGATGAAAATACAGGAGTTCTTGCTTACAGATTTTTCTCCAACAGGGAAGAGCAGTGTTTCTCAACCTTAGCAACTTGAAGACGTGTGGACTTCAGCTCCCAGAATTCCCCAGCCAGCATGACTGGTTGGGGAATTCTGGGAGCTGAAGTCCACACGTCTTCAAGTTGCCAAGGTTGAGAGAGACTGGGGAAGAGGGTTCCAAACCATTGCTTTGAATTGATGGACACAGTTTGAATATGAAAGCATGCTAGGGCACTTTTATTTTTATTTAATACAGTACATTGCTTAGCACGAGGAACATAACCCTGTTCCTACTTTGCCAGGTAAAATGTTTTCTTAAATTTCAGAAAACAGTAAAATACAAAGTGATCAAAAGAAAATAAAAAAAGTACAAAAAAGGTAGCTTCTGACTTTCTTTGGTACAGGTATAGGTATAGAATAAATTCACCTCTTATTCCAATATCTAAAAAAGTCACATAATAAAAACTACCCTTTACTCTAACATTAAAAAGAACTTTACAAAATAAAGTCTATCTCAGTGAAAATATTAAAAAAAAAAACCAAGATCTTTCTGTAATTATAAAATACCTGCTCCTACTTTGAAATAGCTTACCCTAGATATCCAGTCCACGCGCTCCTTCCTACATTTTCAAGGAGCTGTAAAATCATGGCTCTTCACAGGGAGAACTGGGGACAATTAAGACCCTGCTGCCCTCAAGCTGTTGGCTTATAGTTGTATTAATTGATTTTTGTTTTGAACATTATTCTGTGAATGCTGTCATTCAGTCTCCCAAAATGGAGTGGTATGGAACAGCATTTCTTAAAGCGTGGTCTGAAGACCCCACACATTTGCCAGATATTGAAGGTATTTGCAAAAATTTTAAACCATGACACTCTTCTCTTTTTTTTAATTAACAAAATATAGGATTTTTTCATGAAAAATATTTCATTTATGTTCATATCTAATGGGTTTAATATTGTTATTTTTACACGAATCAATCAATATTCTACGAGTATGTCAGTTTTAATTTTTAGTATGGTAAATATCGATAAATATAACCCTTACAAATAAAAGCTCTTTTGGGGTCTTCCATAATTTTAAAAGTGGTCCTGAGAGCAAAACGTTTAAGAAACACTGGTATAGAAACTGTAATCATCCTCAGCACAATCGTCTTCATCATCACTTGTTCAAAAGCCCCACATTATTTATTTTAATATTAAATAAATAGACAAATAATTTAAATGACTAATTTACTAAAATATTAAAATAAATAAATATGATTTATTTAACATGCCTTTTCTGCTGTGGCCCCTGCCCTCTGGAACATCATCCCTCCCAAGGTGAGGTTGGCCCCATCCTTCCTAATCTTCCAGAAAGCCTTTAAAATGTGGGTTTTTTCCAACCACCTTGGGGAGCCTGCAAGATGACTACATTGTGTTTAAGCAGTTGCTGTTCTCCCACAATCTTAGTTTTTATTTATGTTTAGTTGTTTTAATGGTTGCTATATTGCTTTTAACTGTTTGTTGCTTGTACACCACCCAGAGTCTTGTTGAATGAGATAGGCAACTACAAAAATGTGCTAAATAAATAAATATAATAAACCCAGTTTTGAGGCCGTCTGACTCCTGGGCAACTCTATTATAAAGAAAGGAAAACAATACATATAAAAAGGGAACACATCCGACTGGAAGAACAAACACCCAATCCTAAACCAGACTAAATTAAGCTAAACTAAAAGGAACTTGACAACCGCCCTATCCTAAGGCCTGGGAGACCAACAAATGGAAATGCCCCGAGTTGAACCTGGAGCTTCACACATGCCAGGGGTGTGCTCGATCACTCTGTTACATCATTATCAAAAATGAACCACTGCTTGCACCTCCGGTCCCACCACAGCTACCCTGCCATTTTCTCACTTCTGTGTGAGGCAGATGGCCTCAGCTAGCCTTCATCCTTATTCTCTTAAGGGTGCTATGGGATCTGTGTGGTCCCCACAGCCATTCTTGGAGGTAAAGATGAATTTGAAAACGGATGGTTCGCAGCATGCCAGCTTCCCATTTTTTAAGGAAGAGACTTCTTAAAAAAAAGGCAAGAAGTCAGGTGGGGCCGGGAGCCTGATGGGCATGGTGGTGGAAAAACTCATCTCTGAAGAAAGACAAACAACTGGAGAATCCCAAACTGGTCCTTGGGAATGCAAAGGAATACAGCAATATCAGGTCCCAGCAAGCAAAGCCAAGATCCCCAATTTCAGAGCAACATAGATTTAATATAGGTTCCATCTCATTGCATTGTATTTACCATCAGCAAGATAAGGAAGTAGAGGGTGTTATTCTTTTCGAACTGGGTTATCTGGTTGTCCACAGCAGAGAAGTCACAACCCATCCGTTCATCAAAGGCACAGATACCCAGTAAATTACATCAAAGACATGGATGCTC